ACTTGTTTCAAGTAATCTCAAATTGTTGTACCAAAAAAACCAGCTCCACTAACAATGTGTTAGTGTTCCAGTCCTTATAAAACACCTATACTATTAGATTGTTTATATTAATAAAAATTAAATGATAAGGGAAAACTTCAGAGTCATTTTAATTTGTGTTGCTCTTAATGAGGCTGAGCATTGTTAATGTGTTTTTGAATGCTTGCATTTCTTCTTTTGAAAGCTTTTAACGATATCTACTGAACGCTTAACTCTTGGGGAATCTTTCAGCTTTATTCTTCTCTATCACACAGTTTCTCTGAATCTTTACCTGCCTTCTGTTCTTTCATTCCCTCTCATCTCATTGGGAAGATGTGGCCCAAATTCTTTTAAAGGGAGCATTTCCACTGGCCCCAGAGTCAGGAGGACCTGAGTTCAAATATGACCTCAGATAATTGACACTTAGTGGGTGTGTGACCCTGGGCAAGTCACTTAACCCCAACTACATTGCCAAAAAAATGGGGAGCCTTTCTAACTGCAGTCTGGATCATATTCCTACCTGACTCCTGTGAGATATAGTTCCACAAATTAGCCCTGCTCTTACATACATCTTTAGTCTCTGCCTCTCTATTGGTTTCTTCCTCCTTCATGTAAATATGGTTGGGTGTCTTGTGAGCTCTTTCCCTAACTCCCAAAACCCTATACCATTTTTTTTCTTCGATTTTGCCTCATTCCTTAAACTATAATATAATTTCTCTCCATGTCTGGTCAAACATCTCCAAGTATTGTACTACACATAGTGTTTTCTTTCCTTGACACCCACTCACTAGGTAATCTCCTAAAATCTAACTTCATTCCACACCACTTCCATTCCTAAAAGTCTGCTCTCAAAAGTTGTCATTGAGCTAATAATTGTCTAATCCCATGAGCTCTTCTCAGTTATTCCCTTCCCTGACCCATAGGCAACATTTGACACTCACTAGTTGCCTCCTTGAACTTCTTTCTTCCCTGGGCTGCCAGTAGCTTCCAATGTCTCCTTTGTCAGACAATCCTCCCCATTTCCTAAATGTAAGTGTTCCCCAAAGTCATAGGAGCCTAGATTTATAGCTAGAAGGAACCACAGTGAACCTGCTACGACTCCTTCATTTCAAACTGAGGCCCAGAGAGATCATGATTTGTCCAAAATCACAAAGCTAGTCAGTGACAGAGTTAGGACTCAGAATACATACTTCCTAAAGTCTAGTACAGTGTCCTTTCTTTTGTATTACACTGTTAACAAGGACTTGATTTTATACCGTCAGAGAATATCTCACCGGTAACAAGAAGCTAAGCTCTGAACTCTTCCCGAGGGCTATCTAATCCATGGTACCCATTTCCATTAATGGAATTCTTCCAATTCTTATTTTATAAACAATGAAACAATGAAAGGAGTTGAATAAAGGGAAGGGATGAGCTTTACAAGGCATAGGTTAGTGAGAGAAAGACCCCTTCTCTAGGGACTGTCAACATATATATGATATATACATACATACACACATATATAACATGTATGTATGTGTATTATGTGTGTGTGTATATATATATATATATGTGTGTGATATTAATATTGTATGTCTTTTTTGCTTCTTTCTCCATTTGGACATGACCCTAAAGTGGTTCAAGAACTCTTCCCACTATCACATTGCTCAAAGACTCTACTGTGAAAAAGACAGCTTATTTCCCTCATCAAAAGTCCATTACTGGGATAATGCTTGGGGCTGATTTTCCTACGACCAGGTAAAGTCTAGTAGTGCTAATAGGATTTGAATCAGTGAGGAGGAATGCAACCTGGCAAGATGAAAAGGAATTCTTAGAAGGGTTGTATTGCTAATTGGACGTTTCCTTGGTGGCCTGTGGATGCGCTCTGATCAGTGCATAAAGAGCTAGTCTTCCCTTCAATCACTGGAAGCAGATTAATGTCATGTTATTTTGTCCAGGCTTCGCTGGGGTTGTATTACCCCCTTGGATAGGAGGCCTATCAATGAAATAGTGCTATGCATAACATTAAAGGGAGAGTATGATAGACAAATGAGGTGGCCATCAGACTAAGAACTTCGTAAATGTTTATTTAGCACTTATTATGTATGTCCTCCCCCAAGGCCTAATCATGGAATCATGAGCCCTTACATTTTTAAATGTCTTTTTGTTTTTATATGACCTCAGTTCCTGAAAATATTCCTCCCTCCTCCATTACTCAGTGAGCCATCCTTTTTAGCAAAGAATAAAAAAGAAAAAAAGGATGGGAAACAGTTCAACAAAATTAACCAATGGCATAGCTGAGTCTGATGCTGTTTCGTGTCCTGTTGTCTTCCCACACACATACCTCCTATATAGAGAAAAAAAGAAGTTTTCTCATCTCTTTCTCATTAAGGATGAAGCCCTTGTGACCATAGGTTCTCAAAGTTTATGCCAGCAGAAGATAAGTTCTGTCAGATCTTAGAGAGCTAAGAAGGGTCCAAGAACAAGGCCTTAATGTGCCTGAGGCCTTAGAACCAACTCTTCCTAAAATAGAATGAATTCAACTCCAGGTGGGCCCAAGGGTGACTTAGGTTAGAACCACACCTCTTCCTTACAAATTCTAGGCATGGTACAATCTGTGTTGATGGAGGGAACCCTCACAATTACGGAAGGAACCATCACAATTACAGAAGTACCAACCATTGAAGCATAACTGGTCAGTCATTCTCAGTTGTGTCTGTGGAGAGTCTTGAATGCCAAACTAAGTTTGGATTTTACTCTATTGTCCACAAGAGGCCATCAAAGGTGGGGCTAAATTTTCTGGAGTTGTTTAAGCATTAGGGAGAATGTAGCATAGAATACTGAATTGAGAATCTAAAGACCTAGATTCAAGATGAGTTTTGTGTAATTACTTTGTGAAGCAGCCTTGGTCTCTTTCATCTTCTGTAAAAATAAGAGCGTTGGACCTCTCTAAGTTCCTTTGTGGTGCCAACAATTGATGTTTTTGGAAAAGAAATGTCTCTGACAGTGGAAGGATCTGAGGAGCAGAGGTGTTTGATGGAGGGAGGACACCTATGGCAGCAATGAAGGGCTTCATAGGAGGGAAGAGGGCTAAGAAAACCTAAGCGGAGGCAGAAGAGTCAGAAAAAGTAGATTCCCCCCCCAGAGACATATATTATTATAATCTGACATGCAAAAGTCTCCACTTATAATTGTCTATCATGTCATCTATTCTAATAAGCAGGGAGGAATTGGACTATTTTCTTGTTTGCTTTTTAGCTTTTAAAAAAAACCTGACATTTATTTATATATTAATGTTGAGGGTGGGACTAGAGACTTAGTTGAAGAAAAAATGGGGGAAAAAAATCACAAGACTAGGAAAACTGTCTATGAAACAGAATCCTGTACAGCAGAAAGAAGAGAGAGAATATAGGCCATGAAGGAGGGAAAAAGATACACACACACACACACACACACACACACACGATGAAGGGAAAGAAGTTTGGGCAGCCAAGGTCAGAGATCTTGTCTAATCACCTGCTTCATGTAAGTTTCTAGCAGGTATTTTTCAAAGATGGGGAGTTTGTCCAGAACTCAGCAGTGTCCATGTTCATGGGCTGTCAATTTTGGGTTTTCCAAGCAGTCTTCGGAGAGATAGAAGGATGGCCCTGATGTGCTACAGGGTTGACCACTTATCCTTGAGGACATCCAAATAGATATTGCCTTGGGTATCCATATCCACAGAGTGTGATAAACTTCACAATGACAGCAATACACACACACACACACATATAATGGAAGCAGACACATGCATATGTGTGTTCCTGCTGGGGAACTCCAAGGAGAACTTGTACTGCAGCTTGTACCTCTTCATATATTGTTCTAGCTGCCTCATGGATGGTCCCATTTGAGCCTTTTAAAGAGAATATCTGACTCTGCTAAGGCAAAAATTCCTGTTTTTACAGATATCAATAGGATCATCAATTCCTGCTGTAACCTCTAGTCCATAGCTCCATGGGCCATGCCCACCCTAGGCTCAGCTACTTATAAGAGTTGGTGGTGATGCTAGCAGCAGTCATTCATATAGAAAGGAAGTAAATGTTATTCGAGGGGAAATGACTTCACCCTGATGGAAATGACACCTTCTGTATACCAGTACTGTTGTCAGTTCTTCTACTGGTCTATCCCCCTTGAGGAAGACTTCATGTTAAAAATCTACTAGCTCTACAATACTGATCTCTGGGAACTATATACCAAAGTTGTGTGCAAATTGGGAGGAAATGAGAGGGTCAATAGGTCAACTACCTAAGAGTTTGACAGAAGCCCAGGCTAAAAGACCCAGAGATCAGGGTAGAGGGAGTTATAAGGCCAAGAGACCTAATGATTCCAGGGCTGCAGGAATTCCAGAATGGAGTGTTATTGGAAGAAGAGATTTGTTCTGATTTTCAGAATCATGACTTGTCTATTGGCACTGACAAATTTCAGGGAGATTTGGGGACCAAGCCAAGGCTCTCTCTGGATCCTTCAGGAACAATGGCATACCCAGACTAGTTACCTTCAGTAGCCACATCAGGTTCACCTCAGGCAACTGTAGTGAAAGAGGTGGGGTCACCTGAGGTCTCCCCAGGAGCCATGGTAGAGCCATTCAAAATCTCTCTGGGAGTTGTGGCAGGGACACCCAAAGCTCCTCTGGAAATCAGTATTGGGAATCATGAAGGGGTAGCCCCAGGTACCTTTGGGAGTCATGGAGGTGGTGTCAAATCAGCCAAGTTCAGGAGCCTTAGTATGGCCCCCTGAACTAGTCTGGAGATCTGAACTTTGGCCCCCTCAGCCCACCTGGAGAACCCTGGCGGGAGCTCTTCTAACAAACTCTCAGGCTGCCTTGGGACCCCTGGCAAGAGGTCCTCTAGCAGCCCCTCAGATCGTGGGAGTCCCTCTAATAGCCTCCAAACCCTTGCTGGGAGCCCCTCTAACAGCTGGGGGAACCATGACAGGCACATCTATATCACCTTTGGGAACCATACCTGAGGAAATTTTGGTAAGCTCTGGAACCAGCATTGGGCCATTTCCAACTGATTCAACAGCTAATGCTGAGCCATCTCTCAGGGACAATACTCAGAATGGGTCATCTATAAAACAAGAAACAGGAGAAAGCCAAGCTAGTGAATTTCAGGCTAGCTCTTTGCCAGGAGAGGCACAAGAGAGAGGTGAGGAGGCCAAGGCTGGCACTTCTCAGGAGAACAGAAAGACTATGAAACCCATATCCAGGGTATCCAGGATACAGTGACAGAGAAACCATTGCTAGAAGAAGGTAACCAGAACCCAAGGACTGCACTGCAAATATGTGATCCAAGGTCCCCCCACTTTTATTCCTGAATCATGAGTCTTAGGGAAAGGGAGTTATAGTGAACATTGCCAGAAACAAAATCAGGACTTCTCAAAGTGAGGAAAAGTCAATAGGTGTGTGATAAATTTGTGGTGGGGACACAGAAGATTAAATGGGTAATGTAGAGGATAGATGAGAAGAGACAGAAAGCCAAGATATTCACATAATCAGGATGTAGAAAGCTCAGCTAGGAAACCTCCAGAAAGATAATAGCTATAAAAGATTTTGAGAAAATCGGTGATAGGACTTGGTGACAAAAATGTGGGGAGGGGGAGGGAAAGGTCAAGGATGTGCACTTAAGACCACACAACTAAAAGAATGGTGATACCATGAACAGAGATAGAGAAATCAAGAAGAGAAGCAGTACGATTTGGGGGGCAGGGCAGGGTGGTATGAGGGTTAGGTACAAGGGAAGATGGAGGATGATTAATTGAATTTAAGATAGTCAAAATTGAGTTTGAAGTAATGGTAGGATATGCAGGCAAAGATACCCCACAAGCAACTGGAAATATGGATCCGTGTTTGGAAGAGACCACAGAAGAGATAAAGGGTAAAACTGCATTCATAGGGAATAGTTGTGATCTCCAAAACTGAGATTGTAGAGATGAATAAGCTGAGGACTTACTGCAGAGGACAGGGGAGAGCCACATATAGAACTTGGGAAAGAAATACAAGTGCAGATCTGACTATGTCTCTCTGTCTCTGTCTCTGACTCTGTCTCTCTCTTTTCCCTCCGTAAATTCCAGCCACTCATCTAGGATAAAATATAAAATCATCTATTTAGCATTTAAAACCCTTCACAACCTGGCCCCTTCCAACCTTTCTAGTCTTCTTACCGAAATCCAGTGACACTGGCCTCCTTCCTGTTCCTCTCATTAGAGCCTCCATTTGCTGACTCCCTGTAATTTCACTGGCTATTCCCATGCCCACAGTGCTCTCCAACCTCATCTCCACCTTTGGGCTTCTTTCAAGGCCAGATGAAATTCCATCTTCTATGATAGACTTTTCTTTTTCTATTTTGCAAAACATATGTGTAATATTGGAATTAATTTTCTTTGAATGTTTGAGAGAATTTCCTTACATTTTCATCTGGTCCTCAGGATTTTTTTTCTTCTAGAGTTCATTTGTGGTTTGTTTAGGTTTTTTTTTTCTCCTGACAGTGGGTTGTTTAAATTGTCTATTTCTTGCTCTATTAATCTGAATATTTTAGACATTTATAAAAATTCATCCATTTCATTTAAGTTTTCAGTTTTATTGGTCAAAATATCTTCTAATAATATCCTTTATTTTTTCTTCATTTGTTGTGATTTTTCTTTTCTTTTTTTTTATGATGGCAATTTGGTTTTCCTCTTTTATTCACATTAACTATGTTTCTTCTCTTTTTTAAATAGCTCACAGTTTTATTTATTCATTTTTTAAACTTTCAGTTTTGGTAATCTCTTTGATTTTCAGAATTTCTATTTTGGTGTGTTTTTTTACATATTGTTTTTCTAGGGGTTTTTTGTTTTGTTTTTTAGTTCCATACCCAAGTCACTGATATAGTCTCTGGTTGTTGAAGAAAGTGTTTAAGAACAATATTTAATAAAATTATCTACCATTTTAATAATTTGTTCTTTGACCCACTAAGTCTAAGATTAAATTATTTAACCTACAATTAATTTTAATCTGTTCTTCAATGGTCTTTTAAAATAAAAATTTGATTGTATTGTGGTCAGTAAAAGATGTGTTAATATCCGATTTTCTGGTCTGTTTTGTGAGGTTTTTATGCCTTGATATATGGTCAATTTAAAAAAAATATGATGCGCAGCATACACACACACACACACACACACACACACACATACACATACACATTCGTTTTCCTGTTCAACAACTGCCAGAAGTCTAACTTTTCTAAAATCCTGTTCAGATTCTTAATGTCTTTTGTTTTTTATTACATTTGTCTACCTCAAAAAGCCAGACATTAAGATTCTCCACTATTATGGTGTTGTAAAAATTAAAACTGATTTTAATCCTATTTTGCTAAGATTTAATTAATCTAGGTTTAATATGCTCTTTCATGTTTCCTTCCTCTTATAAACTTCACACCCTCCCCACCCCATCCCCACACACAACCTTGAGAAACTGGAAAAGTTCAGGCCTTTCTCTTGTAATTACCTCCACCTTTGTATCCCACCCATCACCTACTTTCCAGAGAAAATTGATTAACCTAAAAGGTCAAATCTCAACAATTTAAACTATTTTAGCAATTCCCATTGCCTGCAGATTACTCCCATCACCTGAGAACCTTTGTTTTATGACTCAAATCACACGTCTTGACTGTGGTTGAGGGGGTTTCAGAAGGGGAGGTCCAAATTATGTAATCTCAATTCTAATTATGTCATTGATTGCCAATCAGAAGAAGACACACCCATGCTGCTTGAGAGTTTGCTCTGTCATCTTGCTGATTGTTAGAAAAGATACTGTCAGCCCTCACTCAAGGTCTTTGATCATTGACAGAGGCATTGATCCAATTTATTGGTTACTGCTAGCCTAACTAATAAATTGATTGCGCTCAGAACCTTGTCTCTCAGTTTACCTTAATTTCTACTGTAACAGTGTTACTATTACTCCCCCTAGTTTGTTTAGCTTTTCCTTTAAGTATTTAAATGGCATTCCATTTAGTGTATTAACAGAAGTATTGCAGTTAGTTAGTTGTCTATAGTACCTTTCATCACGATATATTTTCCACTTATACATTTTAAAGTCCATTTTTGCTGTAGCCTTGGCTGAGATCATGATTGCTGCCTCTGCTTTTCTGAGTTCAGCTGAAACATGATAGATTTTGCTTCAGCTCCTTATTTTAATGCTGTATGAATCATTTCAAGTGTTTCGAGCTAATCATGCTTCCAGTGCTTCTTTTAAACAGCATGTTGTTGGGTTCTGCTTATCAATCCATTCTGCCATGCTCTTCTGTCTTATAAGGGGAGTTCCTCCCATTCACATTCACAGTTATGATTGTCAATTGTGTATTTCAGTCCATCATATTCCCTTATATTTTGTTCTCTGAAGAAGATGGTTGTGAAGTGGAACAGGAGTCTCCTCCACACTAATGCCCTGTACTTGATGCAATCAGCTTCTGCTTCTTTGTTCTTCTCTTCCCTTCACTCAGAACCTAATCACAGGTTCTTTCCCATTCTTTTCTTTTAAACTACTCTTCACAATCCCCTCTCTGAGTTTAGGATTTGTTTTGTTTATGACTAATCTCTTCCTAAATCTATCATCCCTCTTATTCAAATCACCTTCCTCTATTCATCTCCTCTCCTGTTTCACTGCTAAGTGTATTTCTGTGACAAAATTTGTATGTGCTATACCCTTCTTTAAGCAGTTCAGAGGAAAGTGATGCTTACCTCTAATTTTTAAAGACATTTACTTTTACCTCCTCTTAACTGTATGAGATACGTCTCTCCAAATTTCTTCTCTAATATATCCTTATCCCCCTTTTCTTTTTTCTTTTCAGATAATCAAATATAAACAGAATCATTCCCAGGTTTTGAGGATGCTCAGGTTCTGATGGGTTACTTGGCTCATTACCCTCCAAATATACCCCTTAGAACAGAAACATTTCATCGTGATAAAGTCTCTTCTGGTTGTTACTCACATTTCTCTTTACTCCTGTGTTTGTATTTCAGTTTTTACTTTGCTCTGGTATTTTGATCATACCTGGAAGTTCTCTATTTCATTACAAGTCCAGTTCCTCTCCTGCCAACTCCCTTGTGCTCAAGTTTTGTGGGAAAGCAATTCTTAGTTGTATGCCTATCTCTTTTGCCTTTTGGAATATCATACTCCATACTCTCCCCTTCTTTAAGATGGCGCCTGTTAAATGTTTTGTGATATTGACTGTAGTTCATCAGTCCTTGAACTTTTTTATTTCTGACTGCTTGCACTATTTTTTCTTTGACTTGGGAACTCTAGAGATTGGCTGTGACATTCCTGGAAGTTAGTTAGTCTAAGCCCTTTTTAGCTATGTGAAAGGCTCAGGATCATAACAATGCATTCTTCTGGCCTGGTTCTGTTCTTTGCCATGGGGTTCAGTCCTTGATTCACTGTAGTAACCCTGCACTGGTAGGGGGCTACATTTGAGATGCTGACTTCTCTGAAAGATTCAACATTTCTGGCCTGGACCAAGAATTGAGTATTAGATCTCAGCCCAGCCTTAACCCAGATTTGCTGCCCTGGTCACTTACTTGTAGGTCAAATTGATGATCTTGAGCTATGAAGATGCCCCAGTAAAATTTCTTGTATTTCCTGATTACTACTCAGTCTAGTGGTCTTAGAACTTTGGAGAATTTTTTGGGATGTTGATCTATACCGTTTCCTCCCAATCAGCCATTTTACTGATCATGATCTCCTGTTTAGATATTCCTCAATTTTGGAGCTTGAAGGGACCACAGCTGGACCTAGAACAATTCCTTTGTTTCATAGATGAGGAAACCAAGGTCCAGAGAGGTCAAATGATTTGTCAAAAGTCACAGAGCTAGTTGATGACAGAGCTTGGACTTAGAACACATACATTTTTTTTTGTTTTGTTTTTTGAGAGACAATCAGGGTTAAGTGACTTGCTTAGGGTCACACACCTAGTAAATATGTGAGGCCAGATTTGAATTCAGGTCCTCCTGACTCCAGGGTCAGTGTTCTATCCACTGAGCTATCTAGCTGCCCTAGAATATATACTTCTTGTAGCTTAACCCAGTGTCCTTTCTT